ATCACGTACATCTGCATATAAATTATCTAAACCGTCATTATATCTGTTTCCCAACCCGTAATGAAACTAACAAAGTTAGTAGAAGGAATAAGGGAGTAGGAACCGAAATTCTTCACGCCGAAAACTTAAAGGCCTTCTTTGGATCCTTTACAAAGCACCAGCAGACGAACTCTAAGGAACGAGGGAGTGGGAACCAAAGATACTCTCCCCTTTTAGTCTCAGTCTCGTACAGGAACGGATCAGGTCAGTAACCTTTAATTTTCGCCTCCTTAATTTTTGACGGACGATTTCTCCCTCGTTTTAGGTCGAAATTTAATTTTTTTGCACAGTTAGATCAGATTAATTATACTCTTCAAAATGATATCCACTTTGATATATTTTTCGAACAAAAAAAATTGAGACATTTTTTACCAGTCTATACCATATGGTATTGACTGGTATTGAAATAAGAGCATACCTATGGTTTGAAAAGCGTACCATGGTGGTATGAACAAACCAAGACTGTTGGATGGTTGAATACATGATAGTAGAAGTATATTAATTGTCATTTACGACTTTTATCATTGCGTACCACAAGATACCACCTCGTACCAGGGTGGTATTGTATGGTATTGTGTGGTATTTTTTGGTCATGTAATTTGTTCACCCAGAAATTTGTAGATCCAATAGATCATGATGAACTCGTCCCTTCTGTGCAAACATTTTCAAAAACGAATTAAAAACGAAGAAAATATCATATGGTATGCAGTTGGTACCGAGAGGCCAGAATTTTTTTTTCTAAAAAAATATTGAAAAGTGATCTCATTTTGTAGAGCAAGATGAACTCGTTCCATCTGTGCAAAAAAAAAAAAAAATCAGAGTTAAAACGAAAAAGATATGAGCCGATTAAGAAAACTAAGAAAAATAAAAAAGATCTTTAATTCTCCATACTTAGATCTGGATTTTCTAAATGAAGGGTCCAGATTTGGTTATTGATGGGTGCATAACCCATGATTATGCAACCTATCTTGAGCCTTCTCCTACGAAGCACCAAATCAACTCTATCAAACTAATCCTTAGCACACAACCAAAGGTCCAAAACAGAAAACAAAAAGCATAAGAAGGAAATAAAGAAAAAAATGAGGACAAAGAAGTTAGGCGGCATGGCAATTTCCATGGCATTAGTAGTACTATTCTTCTTCCTCCTGATTCCGTGTACCCATTAAGAATTCATCTTCGAATACAGTTGCAACAATGAGTCCTTCGACGACGGGGACCTCCGGCTCGAGTGCCTGTACGATCTCTTCAGCATCTTGGTCGATCCGACAGATGACGGTGTGGTGCCCGAGAAGAAGGACTGCCAAGGCTCGTATTTGTTCGGTTACAGGTGGTTGGATCTGAACCAACAAGGGGCTCTTGATTGTCTCGACCAAGCTCAGACGAAAGACGTTGATGGAACTAGTTGTTTCATGAGGTATGAGCTCTATCCCATCCCAACTCCGTCGGGAGGCGGGAGCTGACAATGAAGTGCGCACGAAGAATGATTGTCAAGAAGAAATTGCTATCAATAACTCGAGTTGTTGGAAAAAGGTTATGCCGGATTTTATACAGGCCCATGTATGTTACTTAGCGACTTTGAGGATGGTGGGTGAAACCTTATAAGAACATTTGCTACTTGCTGAACTGTCGTGGGGCTTAACTAACTTATGATAAAAAAAAATTATGAGAATGGCTGCTACATCATCTGCTTCTAGATTTCTGACTTTCTATAGTAGTGTTGATGACTGAAAACCCTCAATTCAAGTATGCATTTTTGTTGTTTGGAAAAGAAAATGTCCAATAACGGTATCTCGAATGTAAAGATACAACAATTTTTCTCGTAATAAAAAGATTTGTCTATGACGAGTTGGGCTGCACTCCAAAAATGAGCTATTTTGGAGTTTGATGAACAATTTTGGACAACGATTTTAATACTTTTAGGATTATTTTTGAATAAATCTTAGTTTTTTTTAGTAATTGTATTTGATTCTCTTACTCGTACATAAATTTATTTTGTATTTTTTTTTATAAATCTCCGACTCGCGATGTATCGTGTTTATAGCTTTTTCCATTCCAAAAAATGCTAAGCTCTCTATGGCCCATTTATATACCGTGTCGTGTTCATGTTCATACTTGGACTCACAAAGTCTAGGCTCGACACGCCCCGTAAAGCATTTGTGCTCTTGTTAGGCAGATTCAAAAATGATGATGAGCCTAGAGCCAATTTCTTGCAAAATTCGGGGTGAGGGGCCAATTCAAAGTTAAACTAATCCATGTTTCCCTAATTTATCCTGCTATAGTATCATCCGATAGTAGGTTGTTTCTGGTTAAGATCATAGTAACTTGTCACCATTATGACTGTTCAAATATAACAGAGTGAGCTAAGCACGATGAAAAAATCATGTACACCAACTTTATCACTAGTACTTATATGGTTGAATATACGAAAGGAAGCAAATTGTAACCAAACAAAAAGAAGGTTGCTAACGAATACGGGGAGGAGGAACCAAAGATACTCCATGCAATGCGTAAAGGCCGCATTGGATCCTGTACAAAACACCAGACCAACTTCGAGGAATAAGGGAGGGGGAACCAAAGATACTCCCGGCCATAACAGCCGCCTCTGTATTCTCCTGTACAAAGCATCAAACCAACTCTATAAAACGAATACATAGCCGGGAAACATTTCTGGAAAAATCCTCTGGAAACAATTGAAACACAAACAAAAGGCTAGAAATTGAGGACAGAGAAGTCAGGCGGCCGGCATGGCCATTTCCACGGCAATAGTACTACTACTCTTCCCCCTATTTCCGCATACACATCTAGAATTCGTCTTCGAATACAGTTGCAAGCTCGAATCCTTCGACGACGTCAGGGATCTCTGGCTCGAGTGCCTATACGATCTCTTCAGCATCTTGGCTGATCCAACGGACGATGGTGTTGTGCATGGGAAGAAGGATTGTTATGGCTCGTATCTGTTCAGTTACAGGTGGGTGGAGATGAATCAACCAGGAGCTGCTCTTTGTCTCGACGACTCGACCAAGCTTAGGGTATTCTCAAAGACCACTGTACTCACAGGAAAGAAGGTCAGATGCAGCCATGCAGGACGCTGCTGAAACTACTTATTTCATCATATATGAGCTCTATCCCATTCAATTTCCGCCGGGAGCTGATAGTATTGAAGCGCGCCCGAAGAATGATGAGGATGGTGCATGAAATGTTATCGTCCTCGATCGCTACCTCAGTTCATTGCCGTGAATCAGGTCAAGACAGAGATGACATTTGCTACTTGCTAAATTATAGTGTTATAAAAGTCATGCATGTTATACATTGGGCTTAATTAGCTTACAGTAAATAAAACTCTTTACTTTTCGGGTTCACATATTCTAAACCTTCACCCTTCATGCATGCTCATGTATTTTCCCGCTTTTGAAGTTCCCGACACAATGCAATGCCAAAACAACATGCATAGAAGTCGGTGGAGATCAAACAATTTATGAAAATATATGCGAAAAAATATTATTATTAACCGTACGTGGTGGCAGCTACATCATCCAGGTTCAAGGCTAGCAGTAGTGTTGATAATTAAGAATGTAAAGATACAACAATTTTTTTCTTAAAGGAAAGGTTTCTGCATGATGAAGCGGGATACACTCCAAAAATTAGCTATATTTGGAATTTGATGAAAAATTTCGGAAAACCATTTAAGTATATTTAAGATTATTTTCAAATCAATAATTTTATTTTTGTCAAGAGCACAGTTGTATTATCAACGAAATAAAGATTACCAGTTTATACAATTGTTCGTAACCGACTATATATAGAAATCAAACTCTACCAAATTACTAGTGGAAAAAGGAGAAAAAACTTTTCTAACCACTCCAAGGGTCATACTATTGGTTCTCCCCACCGACAAATAACTTCTTAATTCATAGTAAGAATATTTGTTACTTGATAAATTGTCGTGTTATAAAAGCTAACGTTATACATGGGGCTTAATTAGCTTACAACAAATAAAAGCCTTCACTCTTCGGATTCATATATTCTAAATCTTCATCCTCGATGCTCATGTATTTTCCCGCTTCTGAAGTTCTTGACACGATGATGCCGGAGCAACATACGTTAGAGGTTGATCAAACAATTTATGAAAATATATGCAAATAATATTATTACTAACTGCACGTGGTGGCGGCGGCTACAACATCCAACTTCAAGATTAGCGGTAGTGTGGATAATTAAGAATGTAAAGATACGATAAAAAAAAATTTCTTAAAAGGAAAGGTTTATGTATGAGGAAGTGGGTTACACTCCAAAACTGAGCGCTATATTTGGTATTTGATAGAATTTTTTGGAACAACCATTCTAGTATATTTAGGATTATTTTCAAACAAATATTTTGTTTTTCCAAGAGCACACTTGTATTACCAAAGAATTAAGGATAACCAGTTCATACACAGTTGTTCGCAAAATGAAACTCTGCCAAACTAGTGGGAAAAAGAGAAAAAAAACCTTTTGTAGCACTCCAAGTCCAAGGGTCACACTATTGATATCCCTACCAACAAATAACTTCTTAATTTATAGTAAATCCCTTAATTTCTTGTCCATGCTCGATCGAACAGCACCATATCGTGTTAGAGCATCCACATTGGTATTGCATTCTCAATTGCAAAATGACATGGCATAGGTGTTTGCAATTGCAAAACCAATTGCATTGATGTAGCTACCAATTGCATATATGCAAACTTGCAACAAATGCAATTGCATATGCAAGTCAAAAAAGCCTAAAAAAAGGGGACTTTTTATTTTATATTGTTTTCTTTTCTCTTTTACTTAATTTTCTATAATTTAAATATAATATTTAATTACATTTGCAATTGCAAGTTAATTGCATTGATGTAGGTGATTGAAATGAATGTGATGTGGATTGCAAAAAAATTGAGTTAACAATAAAAAACATAAATGCAATTTTTTTTGCAATTGCATTGATGGAGATGCTCTTAGGGTGTTAGCCCCGCTTAATGTCAGGTACCGCGTAGCACGAAAATACCTCGATTCCCCGGACTTACGGTGGATTCTGTTCCCAAATTCTCTTCTCCCTCTTCTATTATTTCATAAAATTTGGTTGAAAATAAGGAATGATAATTAACTTACACAGGCAAATTTAGTTGGCCGCTAGTGAACATATATTAACGTGCAAGCCTGCCTTACTACAGGCATCCAAAAAGAAGAACCATCCGAATAGTAGAGTAGAGATGAATATGATTAAGTCTAGCCACCCTTGGCCGGGTTGGGCTCATTAAATCCGCCGCGGTCGGGCTCATTAAATCTCCCGGACCTTAACTTACGAGAGAAAAAACCTCCGCAGCCATGATCACCACCGCGAACATATACCGCCGCTGTGCCACATGAATATTATGACGATCATGCACATATACAAGCTTTCATAAATATACTAATTCAGAAACCAAAACAAAGGGTGGATCAACTAGGGGGCTCTTATCACCAGATGGACGGATGGTGGCGGAATTAGAACTTGTGGCAGCGGCCCACGGGGAAGCCAGGAGGAGGGCCGCGGTCGTCACAATCAGCAAAACCCTAAGCGGCACTAAGAAATTATTATTCACATAATAACCCATTTATTTATTTGGTTCTGTATATATAATGTTTATGCTGGTGTTGTCCCATCGATATTCGACTATATATATACACAGCGTAATATGGGCTGGCGGAGTATGAACAGATTAAAGTTCACACTTACTTTTCTGATTATAATAAGGACTTTGCCAAACGACCGGAGACTTTGAATTTAGTGAGCCAAGTTCTTCGATGACACTAAGTCTGCATGCGGGAAATTTCTGCATCAATTAATTATTCTTACGACTTTTGCTTTGCAAAATTTCTTCTTTTCCCAGTCTCGATTTCAATAGCACGCTAAGATGTAAAGAAATAGTGATTAAGACAAGTTTTTTTTTTTTTTTTTTTTTTACTGATCAGATCTGAAAAACTTAAAGATGTGTATGTTTGGACCTGTCCAAGCGGTAAAAACTCAAAAAGTAGGTTTTCGTTTGAGGGATGAGCAAGAGATAAAAAAAAATTAACAAAATTTTTCCCAATAATTTGATTTGTTGATATGTCTTGAAGATTATCTGTCGTCGACTGCTTGTCATGGGGTTGGATTAGGGTTTAGGTCATTGAGAAAAGTACTATATATATTTCTCAATCCATCGTTTGTAATCTTGTCAAGTATAGTGAAAGTGCACTCTCTTGTCCGTTGACTAACTAACACACATTGTGTTAGTGAATCACATAAATTTGTGTGTTCTTTACTTTCTTTTCATGTTAATTATCCCTATCCGTTCTTAACACAAATTGTTGGAATTGAGTAATTTACATGAGGTATATGTAAACTACCCTATATCAATGACTAACTTTGGGTATAAGATTAATTACAAAGTAATCACTCTAATACATAGGTTAATTAACTTTTGGTATAAGATTAACCACATCACTCCTTAATACTTCCCCTCAACCTGCGAAATGAACATGGAGCCAACTTGGAAGTGAATCAAGAGAATTGATCAGCTTCAACCCCTTTGGTGAAAATAATATGAAATGTCATTGTTGTATAATACTCGTCACTCGTATGAATTGATGGTTTTTATTTCAAGAAAAATGGTTGAACATTTCAGTCCTGTCATTGTCAAGAGACTTTAGTTCTTATACATGATGGTCTGAACATAATACCAAATGACCTAGCAATTGCATTACCGAGTGGTAAAGTTTTATCCAGATAGGCCCACACTTGCTCCATAAATTCAAACAATAATTGTGGATCTAACATCTCACAATTTCATTACGTCTAAGCCAAAATTTTCAAAAAGGGAATTTGTAATATGTAGTAGCAAGAAAATTGGAAGCTCGGTATTAGTGATAATGATAAATCATTGGTGAATATTATAGATGCATGTTGGCAAGATGATGAAGAGCTTAATGCTATAATTATTTCTAGGGTTGGGAAAATAGATAAGATATTTTGAAAATTTATAGACCAAATCATACTATAAATTTTGGTTCGTACAGTAGACAGTTAAGAATTGATTGATTTGATTAATGATCTGTATTATAAGATGAGTTGAGTTCTTGGTCAGGTCTAGTGTTCCGCGATTTTCCAAACCACACCGTGAACCCAACCCACTTCCAATTCGTTTTAGCTGCTCACTCGACATTTCTCCCAACTTCTCAACCATCAACTCAAGTCTTAACCCTAATTTTATGAATCATGTCTCCACCTTCATTTATAAACCACATTACGCCACAAAGTAGAGAGAATCATGTATTCATATAGTATTATGTTAATGTTTATGACGTTATGGTGCAAGTTAAGTTGCACTGACTGTTAGTTTTGTTATTTACTTGGATTTATGGTATCAAAATTAAGCATGTTTTAGAATTTATGTTGTAATGAGAAAACATATTTTTCTTGGTTAATGATTTTTTTGTGTGATTGGCTAAAAAACAATTCATTTTTCACTAAATGTGGTATGCATATTCTATATCGTACAAGACCTACCGCACATACGTGGTTTGGTCTGAATCGTAAGTGTAGTATTTGGTCGGAGCTTTGATCTATGCTCTAGCTTCTCGATATACACTATAGATCGTATGTATGATCTGAAAAAAAAAACACCCCGTTTCCCGCACCTGATTCTTTTCATTTATTATTTTTATGAGTACGTTAAGTTTTATGTTTGTTGAGATTCGGATATTTTTGAATTTTGCATGGTACGTAGTTGTTACTGAGGGAGGGATTGATTTGAGATAAAGAATAATTAAAGGTAGTTAGACCATCCACATTCATGAAATACCATTTCTATTTCATATGCGGCCTCTACTGCCAAATCAGCAACTTTTTTCATTCCACTACATATCACTTCCATTTCCTTTACATCCATGAAATCCACTATCTATTTCATATGGTGGGTCCAGCTTACTTTTTAATACATCAAAACATTTTATCTAACCTATATGATTTTACTAATTTAAGATGTATCAAATAATTAAAATAATATATTGTAATTATTTGATTATCAATAATGAAATAAATTTACCAATTCATTGAAAAATATATTATAGCTTTATTCAAACTTTGTTCCGTACGTGAACTTTGTTTCATATTACACTTTCAGAATCTACAAATTTAATTTATCCAAACTTAATGAATTTTCGATAATTTGAAAAAATTGAAATGAAAAAAAAAACATCACATACACAGACATAAAAAAATGCCTTTCCTTTTTTATCATTTGTTATTAAAAGTATAATTTCAAAACAAAATGAAAATGGAAAAAAAGAAACATCAAATGTGGGATGGAGCCCACCCTCCACTCACTTGCTCTTCCATTTGCTATTTCATTAAGTGGAAGATCCCACTTTATGAAATAAGCACTACATCCATGGAAGAGACAAATGAAATGCCATGTCACAATGGAAGGGGCCTTTTGACAGGCGTTGGGGATGGTCTTATTAGACAAAGTTGAATTGCAAGAATTCTTGTAGTTCTATTTGAGAATGATTATGAATCAAATCAAGGAATATTTGTCCAAAGCCAGCTCCCTCACTCTCCTTCTCCATTCGTTACTCCTGTTCTCCCACCAATCCCACCGCTCCAATCGCATAAACTCCCGTAACATGTTATTCATCACACGACGGACGTAGTAGAACAATAGCACTGGCACATGTATATAAGTTGGGCAACAACACAATAAACAACAACAACAAAAAGTACATAAAAAGTTCAAGTAACATCGAATTAAAATAAACACAGTTACCACCACAATAGCAAAACGCATAGTTTGCGGAAATGATTACACCAAAAGTGACCACGAAAAAACAACATCAAATCACCACGGCTGGCCTTAGCGGTATGCAGCAAGCTAAGAGTGCATCGATGAAAGCATCTTTTCTTTGGGCTCTTCAATCCTTCTGGCCTGGTGGATGGTAACCTCCTCCGTGTGGCCAATCCCCTGATCATAAACAACGGAGATTAGATTTAGGGCTGCAGGCGTACGTATATTAATTTGCTTGCAAGTTACACATATATAGCATGAATAATTACGAGGTCGATCGAGGAGGGTAATTAAGACGACTTACAGCCATCTGGTTTGACGACTCCAACTTCCAGTAGAACTCTGGAAGCCTTTGCCGGGGGTGACGAGAGAAGTACGAACACGATCATCACCGCTACTGCCACCACCAGTTTCCAGCCAGCGATGGTGTTCTTAGAAGAAACCATATTTCGAAGGATCGGTCGCTCACTTATAATATTTGGGATGATTAATGTATCTCAAATTCTGATGTATATATGATCGGAAGTAGTGCTTATGGCGCCTTCATTTATAGAGGTTTCTAAGTCTTCCCAGTCAACTGTACATGTTCATCATTCCCTTCCCCTATAGCCAAGCCGCTTTGACTTGCAAGTGGTAACCAGAAAGTCATATGTATAGTATATCAGTGGTGGGTCTCGCTTGCTCCATGCCCACTATATGATAGGTTTACAGAAAGTCATCATTTACGCCTGCTAGGAACAAAACTGATTAATTGACTCAATTATTCCAACTTTTTTTTTTTTTGGATGTATGTATCTGATCTGCATGTGTGTCTCTTATGATTACGAGCCCCACCGAGAATGGGCTTAAGTGCTTAATATCTGGTTATACAATCGTTCTACATTGGAGAATATGAGTTTAAATCTATAAATTGTCAACAATTTAAAAATTCTAACGCTTCGGATTGTTGAAAATAGATTTGAAAATGTTTATTGTTTGGTAACTGTGATTGTTAACATTCAATGAAAATAAAAATAAAAAATTTATATTAAATAACATGTTTATCCTTAAAAAAAAAATTAGTGTAGTTCGAGAAATATTAAAAACTTTGTTGATAAATATATTTAATATGATAAATAAATAAAAGAAAGAGAAAATGTAGGAGAAAAAAAATCTCACGAATCAAGATATAAAATCTCTCTTATTATAAGAGATTTGATATCCGTAGATTTTAGAGATTTCAAATATCTAAAACTAAAATCCACAATAAAAAAAGCAACAAAAAAACATAACTTTCTACAAAATCTACGGATTCAATGAATCCACGCCCTAAATCTCGTTCTCCAAATGACCCCTATGATTTATTCATATCATCGTGATACTTCCATCCATACTATATGTATGAAATTTTGTGACAAAAAACGATTATATTTGTCACAAAGATCAATGTTTTGACCACACATGTATTTTGTCTAAACTGAAGCACAGATACAATTTATTATTTAATGTTTGAATCAATGTTACTTGAGTTCCGATTTCACAATTATCCCTTTCTATAAGATATAATAATTTCAGGTAAAATACATTTCCTACTTGGTTGAAGAAGCTCTTTCTATAGGATATATTCAATGTTTTAAGATTTTCAATTTAAAATTTCGTGAAGCGAGAGTGAAAGTAGGAAGAGTATTTTTGTTATAACAATTATTATCTACTTCATATGAAAAAGTATCAATATCAAAATTTGAGTCATGGTCTCTTCAAACAAAAATAATAATCACAACCAATTACACTAAACAAATTTATTTTATCTTCATAGATTGTAAACATGCATTAAGCAAAGATTTGAAAAGCATAGCACTTTTCACGGTTAGCTAGCCTATTAAATCTTCTGAAAAGCAAAGTTTAATACGTGATTTATAATTTTTATAACCTATATAATGACGGGTAATCTTAAAATTGCAACACAAATTTCATTGCTTTAATTATTGCATATCGAACTACAGTATTGAATATGCAAAAGCGATGTAGAATTTTGTAAATTAATATGAATTTTCAGAACTAGTATGAAACAATAATATTTTGTACAAACTATAGGTGACTGGTTCTGTAAAATATTAGCCTGGTTAACTACTAAACATTAATCAATTTATAGGGCATTAACATATAAAAGAGTTATAATTAACCTCATTATACAATTTTTACTCTTTAGAATAATTAATTTAATCTTAATATTTGTGATGTTTGAAATATTTTATTTATGATTTTGAGGTATAATTATTATTTGTGACCTCCGTTGTAGTTTATTCAAAAGTAGTATTTCATTAGGTAGTCAAAATCGAATACTGTGTGCATTTATGACTGTTTTTATTTTGGTGTTGTGAATAGGTAAAACTTAATTATTACAATGCATATAACTATACCTAGGCACATAGTCGATCTAACTATGAAGACAATGTATATGGATCGACCATGTACAAGAATGAATTCTTCATGTGTCGTACCAGACTTAAAATCCAAGGGCTCGCACACAAGTTCGAGCACCACACAGTCTATATTGGTGAACTCATGTTTTATAGATAAATACGTCATTTGATAAAAATTAAACAAAATATTCTAAAAATAACATGTACATTTTGAATTAATGAGTAGTTTCTCACATTAAGGTGTGACGGCTCATGTTCTAAAAGGTTTTAAAATACATTCATTGTTTATTTTGAGACTCAAACCTTTTTCAATGTATACAACTAAAAATTCATTTATAAATTCATTCTTGATTAACTTAATAGATGAAAAGTCTTTTTTTCAGCTTGCAGTAATAACAAACAACATCAACAATAGCTTTAGAAGCAAGTAAAGTGAAAAAGAAATTGTGATTTAGTATTTGTTTACAAATGTGTGTGAGGGGGGTGGGGAGATTTTTTTTGTCTAGAAAATTTGAGAAAGGGTTTAAAATCATATATAATTTGTTTGAATATTGAATATTGCATATTGAATTGGAGTATTGAACAATTTTGAAGCGATATATAATTCTTAAATTATTTTAAATTTTCAGCTCGGTTGACTAATAGCTTTAGACCTTTTGCTAATCTGACATGGATCCAATAATCATAAGATGAGATTTAGTTTGATATGACATCGGTTCAAAACCATTTTTTATGTGTAATGAAATTGTACGACAGATACATGTAAAGTGAAGATGAACCTGATTATGCATTTGGATTCTTTATATAAATACAATGGTTTAAGGCTTTAAGCGATAAACTAACTATACACTCACTCAATTGGTTTAACGAGTTCTACTTTTTATCACTTCTAATAATTAGCTTATTCACAAGCTATCAAACTACTTTGCTCCATCGATGAATAAGCGACCATCTATTCGCCAGGTTACAAGTGCTCCGATTCACACTATCGACTATGAATAGAGAAGAAGCATTACGAACGCAAAATTGGAGAAGCAGTTGGGTTGTTTCTAGGTTTCTCTCGATTCCTCGCGATGAGAAGAAATAGGAAGGGAAAATGGGGAGAGTTGTGAGATACAAAGTTGAGAGAGAGATGGAAGAACAAATGGAAAAACAAAGAGGAAGGCAAATAAATAGTGAGAGGACACATTAAAAGAGGAGGAAAATGAGGTAGTGTGAAATAATTGTCCTTCTTCTTTGGATAGTGGATATTGATGGCCCTTTTATGTTGATTTTTGATTTATTTTAGGAGATGACATTATATTTGACATATTTTTTCTATTTCAATTTAAAATCCTAAATCAATAGTATCATTTGGAAGATTTTTTCCTTAATACGATTATTATAATTTCTGAGATTTCAGGGTATTTGATAATGTCAATATTTTAGTGGATTTTTATTTAAGGTTGTATTGAAAGATCGTACGTACCGGCAGTTAGACCATGAAACTTCACATCATAGGCTAAATCGATAGGTGATATTTAACAATATGACATGGTTGAACCACCAATAAATTATGACTTCATTGTAAAATACTCTACTACCAACTTTTTCAATACGATTTTACAATCCTTTGGTTCAAACAATTCTTTTACATGGGTGGAAACAAAAGTTTTAAGGCACATTTTGAACTATCTATTGCATAAAAGCATAAGTCAGTTAGCGATAATGAGAATATGTTATTTCATGCAAACCAAAAGACACTTTGCAACTTCTATATTTTAAAATAAATGTATGCTACATTGCTACTCATACCCTCGCTTATTCATCAACTTAATGAGTAACATATATTTCATGTAATATTATTTTCATATGTTTTTATTTATTGAATTATTTCATGAAAAAAATATTTGCGGCATGAAAATTACTATGTTGTTGCTAGATATGGCTGCGATCTGAGAATAATTTGGGAAGTCCGAACACAACACATTGTCCAACTAACTATTAGCGACAACTTAGCATCATGTCTTATATATTTCAAATCAAGCAACTTCATATTAATTACCAACAGTGTGGTAAAAAAATGCTCTCTATTGGGGAAAACTTCATACTAAACTCTATGAGACATTTTCTTTCATCCTAAAGGTTAATTATGTATGTATGTATATATTATGAGAAGCAACTATATGGTTTTAATTAAGTAATGAATGACAATTAGTTATATGCTTTTTTCATTCAATAATTATATGTAATGCTTATATTATATTTTTTTTCTCATTTCATGGAGGTCTAAACACATTATGCATAGATGTATCACTTTCAAAAATGTTATGTGCATAACTTAGATAGAAAACAATCATTTCATGCATTTCAAATCATCTATTCTATCAATTATTATATACCATATTTCTCGACAAAATTCTTCCGGCCAATGGGCCGAGTCCTATACTAGTATTGATGACAATAATAGACACATTTTACGATCGGTTAGGGATAAGGTTTGACAATCCTTACAAAATACGTTAATCCTTACCAATATTAAAAAAAATCCAACTTCAAAGTTCAATCTATCTACACCCTAATTTTTCAGATACCAACATCGATGAGAATCGAACCTGGAACTTGTCATTGCATAGATCTTTTAATCATTAAAAATTAAAAACCCAGCCCCATATACGTCACCATTTTCAATGAAACAAAATCATCGATCAATGTTGATATGAGATATGTATTCTTCTGATCAACGAGACGGCACGACGACGGCCGGTTTAATCTGGCGAATTCCCATTCATACGCAGCAACGCCAACGATAGAAGGCGGAGTAGAAGTCAATAATTGGAATGAAATCTAAACGTTAGTTTCAATTCCGACTCGGAAGGATTGCTAAGCCACGCTGATGTTGCCACCAATTGCCCTGCCTCGGCTTCTCCATATAAAAAGCCAGAGCTATCGACCCATAGAAATCACAAAACCATCTTTCTTCCACTTCATCACACATTCATCAAATCAAAACCTTACAAATGGCAGCCCTGAACAGCAATCTGCTCCTCCTAGCTTCCATCTTCACTCTCGCGGTTCTGGCTTCCACAGCCACGGCACGCCACAACCCCCACGAGGCCGACGTTCGCCGCAGGCACGAGCAGTGGATGGCGCGCCACGGACGAGTTTACAGCAGCCCCAACGAGAAGGAGACGCGGTACCAGATATTCAAAGACAACGTAGCTCTCATCGACTCTTTCAACGCCCAAGGCGCCAAACCTTACAGGCTTGGAGTCAACCAGTTTGCGGATCTGACCAACGAGGAGTTCAGAACTACCAGGAACAGGTTCAAGGGCCACATGTGCTCCCCGCAGCGGGGAACCTTCAGGTACGAAAATGCGAGCGACGTGCCATCCACCATGGATTGGAGGAAGAAGGGAGCCGTCACTCCGGTGAAAGACCAAGGCCAGTGCGGATGCTGCTGGGCGTTTTCGGCCGTTGCGGCGGTGGAAGGAATTAATCAGCTTAGTACGGGAAAACTAGTGTCCCTCTCGGAACAAGAGTTGGTCGACTGTGACACCAGTGGGGAGGACCAAGGCTGCAATGGCGGCTTGATGGATGATGCTTTCCAGTTCATCATCCAGAACAAGGGCTTGACCACCGAGTCCAACTACCCTTACACCGCAGCGGATGGATCCTGCAGTGCTAGCAAAGAAGGCAAACACGCCGCTGACATCAAGGGGTATGAAGACGTGCCGGCTAATAGTGAGTCCGCATTGCTCAAGGCCGTGGCGAATCAACCCATTTCGGTCGCGATTGATGCAGGGGATTCCTCGTTCCAGTTCTACGAGAGTGGGGTCTTTACAGGGGAGTGTGGTACTGAACTGGACCATGGTGTGACGGCCGTTGGGTATGGCGAGAGCGGCGGGATGAAGTTCTGGTTGGTGAAGAATTCTTGGGGGACTCAGTGGGGAGAAGAAGGATACATCCGTATGCAGAGAGATGTTTCTGTCGAGGAAGGCCTTTGCGGCATTGCTATGCAGGCTTCTTACCCTACTGCTTGATGATCTTGCTGCTCATATAGTTGCAGCTTATGCAAACTTAATTATCTCTATTGTATGTTGAATATGATCATTATTGCTATGTTGTAATTATTACTGGAGTATGTGGCGAAGATATTATCTTGTACAAATGCTTCTCTGTATTGTAATATAAGATGGATATATTGAAAATTGAATGTTGGGTGGTTAGTAAGGAAGTCTTAATATGTAGTAACTTGTAAGAAACCCTCTTGTTAGGGCTTTTAGGGGCTGATCTTCGGCACCCGTGTTACTCGTAATAAATAGGGATTTAGAGATTGAGATTAAGAAATTAGGGATTTAGATAGAAAAGGTGGGGATTTAGGTTAAGGTACAGAATTGGGGAAGAACTAGGGAGAATGGCCGGCGGCCTTTAGGGGAAGAGGAGACCAGATTTGTGATGGTTTTGGGAGAGATTAGGGTTGGAAATTATTCTCAATATTCTTCTTGCTTGATTATAACGTCACCCGAAATTACATATTTATAGGGAAAATAAGGAAAACCCCTACTAAATAACCTAATTCGACTATATCTCTATTAACCATAACGATAATTATCCTACCATAAATAAATAGAGAAACCCACGAAAATTGGATTTCTAACAATCCACTCCAATTGAAAATGACATTGCCCTCAAGGTCGTAGCCGACTTTCGTCTTCTTGACCTTTCGCTTCCTTTATTTTTAGTTGCGCTCCCGCTTGTGAATAAGTCATCTTCAGCAAATCCAACTTCTCTCGACTCTTCTTTAATCCCGTGACACATGTCACCTTCTACATTGTCGAACAATTCTTTGTCCTCGCTTTCAAAGTCCACGAAATATGAGTCGAAGAAATGTTCTTCTTTGTACTTCAAAAATTCTTCCATGGACTTGGTGACGAAGGCAAGTTCTATCTTTGCCCAACCTTCTCTTCTTTCACCTTGAATTCGACCCATAATTGCTTGGAAGTTAAACATGTGACCCAAATCATTGTCAAGTCACTTTGTGTTCTTTCTCTTAATTTCGTTTGGGCTTGAATCCTTTAAAAACCTATCTGCTAACATTAGAAATTCATCAAAGCCTGCCCTTTTCCAAACATAGATCCAATTGAGCTCAATACCTATCAGCTGACACGACCCAATTCGCCGTTGAGACACATATGATCCCTTCTTGTTTGGACCAATATCAAACCCCTTCTTAGCCCACTTCATCTCCATTCGTAAACGAAACTATCAAGCTCTTTACTCTTGGTCCGCGCAAAGAAAACTCATGTCCACTTTCTCCATTAGAAAACCCACTCCTCTTGGCCCATTACCATAGGTGATCAAAATAGGTTGACCCCGCGGATCCAACTTACCCATTCCCGAAGAAAGATGTCACGTACAAAGACTCTGACTGATCGGCTTGGGCGAACGGAGCGGCCCGCCACAGTGCTCTTTGGCTCAAGGCTGGCGTCCTAGGGTTCATGGGAGAAAGGAAGACGTCCGCCTCCTTATCTTCGTTCTTCGTAGTTTGCAACTCCCTCGACGGTGCCGTCTTCATCCCGGTCTTCTTCTCCGGTAACAATACTCGATGACCACGTGTCTAGTCTGACCCCACCGCCATCTTCAGCTTCGCCTCATACTCCGACTACGATTCACTCTCCGGCTTCTTATCCTTCCCGATCGACGATTCGATGAAGGTTGTTGTCAAGCGCAGCGTTCTTTGTGCGATTCGCGGCTCCGATGACTCTTTTTCCTTCTCTTCCTTCGTTCGTTTCGCCACACACCCCTATTTCTTGCTCCACCATCTCGGTCGTCGTTGCCATGACTCGAGCGACTGGTGGTTGCGTCGCTGCTAGAGGTGATTGAAGCGTTTGCGGAGTTGATTCGCTCGAAACTACACCGCGAATTAATCCCGAATAGAGCCCAAGTTTTTAAACTTTAGCCGGGTGCAGTATAGAGCAAGTATTTAATTGTCAAACCCGGGTCGATGCATGTACCCCTACTTCAATCGCTTAGGTTGTTATCTAGCAAACGTTTTTGGTTTTAAAACTAAGAAACCTACAAATGAAAACAACCAAGTAAAGTAAATTGAGGTTGTCCCAATGAGAGAAGAGTTCACCCGAGTGTTGCTCCCTCTAGCTAGCAATTACAACTTGATGGATCGAATGGCCGTGAGTGGTGAGGGGGTTGTAAACCGCAGGGAAGTCTAAGAAATAGCCAAAGCTACCCTCTTAGTCTCTAGGTTGAGGAAATGGGATACGATCCAAGCCACTAATGTGACCCTCTCAACCTATTGACTAAGGAATGGTTAGACTTCACTCTCGAATTGGAGTTTGGGCGGCCACCCACAACCAAACCCTAAGTGCTAATACGAAATAGGAAGTTTGCCCTTAACTAACCTAGAATAGGAGGCATGAAATGCCCAAGGAAACCCATCTCTAATAAAGCCTCTTAGGTTAAGGAGGGTTCTCTCTAAACTAGTTTAGGAGGCATTGGATGCCCAAGGAAACCCAACTCAAATTGAGCCTCTTTGGTTAAAGGAGGTTTCCTCTCTAAACTAGCCTAGGAGGCATGCAATGCCCAAGAGTGGTAATTAGATTGACAAGCTTTCACACAACACAATCATTCATGAATAATACCTCCACATTCACATTAAACACAACCGCACACAAATCATTCAATTCACACAAGCATTCACATAATTATAGCTAGGGTTTACAAAAACCCAAGTGAATAGGTAGGCTATTCTATAGCTAGGCAAAAGAAAACAAAGAAAAGGAGAGAAAGAACCATGAAGAGATGAAAATATTTCCTCCTTGTTGCTTGAATATCCCTTGAGAAGAAGAAATCTTCACTCCTCTAACTTGAAATAAGCCCAAATCTCCTTATTCCTCCTTTGAATTGCACTTTCTCTCTCTAGATTAGGAAGAGGAAAACCTAATCTCTCACTAGAAACCCTCCTTTATTCTGAAACTAAAAACCTAGAAAAAGCTCCATTTTCTCCTTCAGCTGCCTTCTCCTTTTATACCTAGATCGGGCTCCGTTCAAGGTCTTAGGCTTCAGTTCACGGCCGCGTTAATCAGTTCAAGGTCTTAGACCTTAGTTCAAGGATGTGTTGATCAGTTCACGGTCTTAGACTTCGGTTCACGTTCTGGGCTTTCAGTTCACGGTCTTAGAGACAGTGAACTGACTTGATGTTAGTAACTTCCAAAACCGTTCTGGATATTGGTCACTTCATGGTCTAGGCTTTCAGTTCACGGTCTTAGAGACCGTGAACTGAAGCTACATCTCGTGAACAGAGCTCAGCCGCCACTTGTTGGCTTGTTTTGACCTCCGAATGACCCAAAACTCGTCCCAGACCTTCCTACACGTGCTAGGACATTAAATGTACCAAAACAAGCACAAGCTAGCATAAAATAGGTCGAGAGATGATGAAACGCAAAGTCAAACTATCAAGAAATGAGGGGGAAAATGTGTACAATTGGACCCGAATCAAGAGTCGCCCGACGGTGGATTGCAATTTCCTTATAGCGTCGTCGTTGGCCGTCGAAGAGAATCACATCCCTCAATCGGCGATGGTGGCGGTGATTGTGCGTCTCCTTCCTCATGTTCGGTTGCCGCCACGATTGGAGCCGGTGTTCGTTGTCGCTTCCGACTCGCAGCGCCGACTTGCCAGGCAGGGGGTTCGTCACCTTCCCTCCATCTTCTCAACCCTCACCGGTGTCGCGCCGTTTCACCGTCGTGGAGTCTCTTTCGGAACTCCTCATAACCTGAATTTCAATCACCTTGATGGATGGAGAGAGCAGAATAATGCGCAGCTCGCTACACTCTGATTTGTCATGGAAACCAGGACTTCCAACCCCATATTTTCTTTCCTCTTTCTTCCGGTAAATCCAATTCGTAACGCGATAGGGTGTTGATCTTTTCTCCCAGCCTTCAACCTTCCTGGGTTCACATTCTCAAAGCTCTGATGGTTCAGGGACCTTGTTCATATTGCAGGTCGTGGAGGAGACACTCATGGCTTTAGATGAAGCTGTGAACATCAGTTTTCCAGCGGCTACTACCCTGTTTGCTGCGAAATCATTCGCTCCTTTGACATAGGTGTTCTTAGCGATGGCAGTTCGATGCAGAGCAAGGGTTTACTCGATCGTCTCTCGCAGCAGCCCCGTCTTCTTTGGCTGGTTATGTTTGATGGTAATAACAATGCTGGGGGGCGATGGTGACAGTCATCATGGGCAACTTCTTCTCGATCTTCATAGCAGTGGTTGGTGGTGGCGCTGGCGTATCTTCTGTGAGCACATGATTCGCCGCCATCAACTCATCCATTGTTGCCATTTCGAGCTTCAGCTTCAACTCTCTTGTGAGTTCTCTGAGCGACAGTTCGAAGCTTGCCATAGCTTCGGTATGGATGCCTGCAACCGGGCTATGATACCACTGTGAGAAACCCGCTTCTTAGGGCTTCTAGGGGCTGATCTTCGGCACCCGTGTTACTCGCAAGAGATAGGGATTTATGGATTGAGATTAAGAAATTAGGGATTTAGATAGAAGAATTAGGGAATTTAGGTCAAGGAACAGAACTGGAGAAGAACTATGGAGAATGGTCGGCGGCCTTTGGGGGAAGAAAGGACTTGAGAGGGTTTTGGGAGATATTAGGGTTGGAAATTATTCTCAATATTCTTCTTGCTTGATTATAACGTAAACCGAAAGTACATATTTATAGAGAAAACAAGGGAAACCCCTATTGAATAACCTAATTCGACTATATCTCTACTAATCATAACGATAATTATCCTAACATAAATAAATAGAGAAAGCCACAAAAATTGGGTTTCTAACATAACTCTATACTTCGCTTGTTTGATGAAAGGAGAAGTACATATATGTAAGTTCTGCCTGTCATATCCAATCAGAATTTAATACATAAGTACGGGACTAGATATTATAACAACACCCTTTGTGTTGTTATTGTAACAACACTAGCCTCCAACCAATAGGAAGCTAGGGTTGTGATGACTTTTTATTAGATGAGTTGACCTAGTGTAAAATCAAAGCAGGGGTATAATTGTCATTATGAAAAATATGTTTAAATAATAATAAAATTTAAAATTTAAAATTTAAAATTTAAAATTTAAAAAAATTAAAAAATATTTTTTATTTTTTAGGCCCAAAATTTTGGTCGCCGGAATTCTGTCACCGGTCGCCGGAAAATGGTCGCCGGTCACCGGAATATGCTTTTCGTCGCCGGAATATGCTATTTTCTCATCGGAATATGTCACCGGCGCCGGAATATGCTTACCGGAGTCGGAATATGCTTACCGGCGACGGAATCTAGTCATCGGGGCCGGAATATGCCTATCGGCGCCGGAATCTGCTCACTGACGGTCATCGGAGTTCGGTCAACGAACTTCGTTGACCGGTCAACGGTCAACGACCACCGGATGCTATGGTCTGCATTGTGAGATTTATGGTTTGGTTTCTCACATTTTTGTATTCCTTTTGTGGTTTGCTTTATCGCGTTTGTGGTTTGCATTGAGAAGTTCCTGGTTTGCTTTATCGTGTTTGTGGTTTGCATTAAGAAGTTTCTGGTTTGCTTTCAAAAACTTTGTGGTTTGCATTATGAGGTTTCTGGTTTGTTTTAATATATTTGTGGTATGCATTAGGAGGTTTCTGGTTTGTTTTTGTGGTTTGCTTTAACGTGTTTGTGGTTTGCATTATGAGGTTTGTGGTGTGTTTTTGAAAATTCTGTGGTTTGCTTTGTGAGGTTTCTGGTTTGTATTAATAGATTTTTGGTCTGCATTAGGACGTTTCTGGTTTGTTTTGTGGTTTGCTTTATCGTGTTTCTGCTTTGCATTAAGAAGTTTCTGGTGTGCTTTCGAAATTTTTGTGGATTGCTTTGCGGGGTTTCTGGTTTGTTTTAGGAAATTTGTGGTCTGCATTAAGACGTTTCTAGTTTGCTTTTGTGTGGTTTGCTTTACCGTGTTTGCGGTTTGCATTAGGAGATTTCTGGTGTGCTTTCGCAAATGTTGTGGTTTGCTTTGTGAGGTTTGTGGTTTGTTTTAGGGGATTTGTGGTATGCATTATGAGATTTCTGATTTGCTTTTTTGTGGGTTTTTATCACGTTTGTGGTCTGCATTAGGAGGTTTCTGATATGCGTATGAAAGATTTGTCATCTGCATACCAATACGATAAACATAATAATACACCCATCATCTTTTCCACAAAATCCACCTCCTCGCTTTCTCGACCACATCTCAAAATCAGCCCACTTTCAACACCGTCGGCTGCTTAGACAATTACAATTCCACCACACCTCCCGTCTACACATCAAACCTCGCCTCCCTCCTAGTCCTTGAGTGCGTATGAAATATTGCCGGAAGTTAGGGTTTTTGCTACTCGGCATTGGTTGGATTCGATTTGGACATCCTCCAATTCGGTTGCTCTGCTTACTTTCTTCTTCGAGCTTCATGTAGGTTTCAGCAACAACACCGTGCGTCAAGATGAGGATTATGATAAAGGGCGGTGTTTGGAAAAACACCGAGGATGAGATCCTCAAGGCGGCGGTTATGAAGTATGGGAAGAATCAGTGGGCTCGTATCTCTTTGCTTCTCGTTCGGAAATCTGCCAAGGAGTGTAAGGCTCGCTGGTATGAGTGGCTGGACCCGTCGATTAAAAAGCTACACGCGACCAGACAGTACACGCGACCTCAGGGAAAGCGGCGGCGTCGGTCAAAGATGCCCTCCGGTATGCGGAAAACGTGCGCCGCCGGAACCGCCACTTTCTCCGCGTAGCCTCCGCCGCTGAGGAGAGCGCACACCTGATCGCCGATTTTCCATCGAGAAACGCTGCTCCCGGCAGAGTGTGTCGCGACAGTGCTCAATCGGCCATGCTCGATGCTAGGATTCGAGCTCCAACGACCACCGCCTTCTCCGTCACCATCTTGATCTGCCATTGATGAAGAACAATTACAAATAGAAAAGCTAGGTGGCGGAGGAGAGACCAGATCTGGTAGGGGAGAGTACCTTAACGTCGAGGAGGTTGGAGTTCTCTCAGCTGCTAGACGGCGAGCAGCAAGTGAAATGCAAGGAAGTCGATTTGGCGCCACTGCCGCCGTTGCGTTTGTTGGGAAGGATATAGCTCGACGGAAGATGCAGGATGGACAGAGTCAGAGGTGTTCTGGGTGGGAGGAGGCAGAGAGTGGGATTGGATGCGAGGAGAGAGACGAAGAAGGTTTTATTGATATTTTTAATTTTGTATGTTAGTTTACTTTTTTGCCCTTAATGAATTCTGTTGTTACTATAACAACAACAAGGCTGTTGTTATACTATCCGGACCCCATAAGTACAGTCGTAGAAACACATATGGTTCATGAAACTTATTGCAACAAAAGTAAACGCGACCAAGGCAAACTCCGATCTTTGTGCAGCAAGCCTCTTCAGCCTCCACCTGGATAATGTCCTCCATGAGGCTGGTCATCTGATGATCACCATCAATTAGATTGAGTAATTAGATTTACGATGCAGGTTAAAACACTAATCAGCTAGTCTGTCACCTTTAGCTTACCAGGTATTGCTACAAACTCCAGTAGCTTTCTTGAAGCCACTGCTGGGACTGATAAGAGACCAAGGACCAACATGATCATGAACAACAGCAGTACTGCCACTACAGCTTTGGAATAAACCATACTTGGTCCTTCCATTGCCTTCTCTGAATAACTCGTATATATCATTTTAGGCCCAGCTCGTCACCATTTATAGAGTCTGAAGTCTCTCCACCGATCGAATTGTCTTCATGAATTTCGTTTCTTTCCCTTTCACTTGCAACTACCCATAGTACCCAGCTTGAAACGGCATTGCTCGTCCCTTGCATGCACGCATCTGCAGGCTACTTTAAACGATTTGTCGCCAAAAGTCATCATGATGACTAGAGAAACTTTTGAAGATTTCAAAGTCTTGGTCATATGGGTGAGTTAATAAATGAGATTTTGAAATGCATGCATGGTGATTGGTCATCCGAAGACTTGGCATATCTACAAAATTTCCACTTACGACGATCTCATAATATACTTGGGTACAGTAGTAGTTAGTCTGATTTAACATGCTAACAACTACTTGTTCAACAAAGACTAATTAGTAATTACGTACTCACAAATAATTATTTCAACTAAATACTTAAAAGTATGCTCAATATTCAACAGAAATCCGGATCCTGTCGCGAGACTGTCTCTGTAGGTGATGGTGGTTGTTTGGGAATGCAGCCCAAATCCAAGACTAAATATAGGTACGTAGTGGCGGAGCCAGAAATTCGAACGAATGGGCTAACTTGAATTGTCGTAATTGGGGGAGTGGGGTCAAAGTCTTACCGACTATTTTAATTCCTAAATTTCTTTTTTTTTGTAGGATAATTCCTAAATTTCTGCACAATTTACATATAATTTTACTTATATTTCAAAATTTAAGGCGCTACAACCCTCTTAATTTCAACCTAGCTTCACCACTAAATACAGGTGAGAGATCGATCAGGATTAACATCAAGAGAAAGAAGGGGGGAAACTAAAGATGGATTAAATGATAATATGGATATGATAACATCTACTGATTGAGTGTTAACATGTTTGCGGAAATATTTGCGACGACTATGTTCGTCGCAGAAGCTGAACTACCTTCTACGATGGATGGTACCTTTTGGTAACGATACACATATTTCCGTCGCAAAACGCTAGGGTGATGTGGTATGTGGAAGGATTTGCGACGACAAGGTGCAGTTTGTAGTGACAGGTCCTTGCAAACTCATTTGGCAACTTAATTCTAAGCAGGGGTATACTGTTAACTCTATGTACAAATTAAATGGCTTACCTCTACAAAGTTTCCAGGCGATTTGGGTTTGCCCAACAAGGTCATTTGGTGTTCGCAGATCCCGCTCAAGGTGTGTACTTTTCTATGACTCGCTTAAATGACGTATTTAAATTTAGGATAGTTTGCAACGTCGTGGGTGGCTACTCGCCAATAGATGCATCCTCTGTATCAAAGCCGAGAAATTTGCTGATCATCTTCTACTCCGTTGCGATTATGCCAAAAGAGTAACAAGTTCACTATTACCCATGGTGCTGAGATCATTCAGTAGTACAGAGAGCCTTGTTGAGATGGTTAAAAGGTGGTCATCATCAACACCGACTGTGTGACATGAATGGTTTAATCAATGTATTCTACATGCCTATTTTGGGAACTGTGGAAAGAAGGTAATAAGCTACTTTTATGGATTCCACAGCTGCCATAAGATGGCATGGAGGGCACCAAAGTTGATCCATCCCTCAAAATCATCCGGCTTGTCAGATTTCCAACTATTGATAGAAGATTGAACATCATCTCCGGGTGGCTCAATACTCGGACATAGCACTTGGCTTCTGCACCAAACCTCCTTGCTGAACTCACAATGTATGAAGATGTGAACTGCTGTCTCTTCTTCCTTCTTGCAAAGTTCGCACCTATTGGCCAAATGTCGACCTCTTCTCTTAATGATGTCAAGGGTGAGATTCTTCTCGAGGTAAGCCAGCCAGATAAATGTGCAGATCTTCGAAGGGATGATCGTTTTCCAAATGGCCTTGGCGTGGAAGATGTTGATGCCCGGGAACTGTTCTTTCGTTAATGCCCTGTACATGGAACGCACGGAAAAGGGATGATCCGCGCAAGGAAGCCAGACAAGTCTGCTAGGACCATTGGACAGCCTTGAAACGGCGTTAGTCTCAAGAAAGTTAAGCAACTCAGCCCGCTCCCGCTCAGCCCCCCTCTCAGAGAAAAGTTTAAAGGAATCACCCAGTTATACTCACTACCTGAATGAACTCTGCTGCCGGAAACCGTAGCATCAGGATTACTGGTGACGGCGGCGATGCGAGGGAAGGTTTCAGACAAAGAGGCTTCTGGGATCCATCGATCGTGCCAGAACGAGGTCCAAGCTCCGCTACCGGGGTCAATGCAGGCTAAATTCCAGAAACTGCTGCGCTCTTTCATAATGTTCGCCCACGCCGAATTGGCATAACCGCCATCGATCTTACCAGTATGCCAACACGAGTGAGGGTTCGGATATTTAGTATTGATAAGTTCTCTCCACCACCTATTGGTCTCCGTAGCAAAGCGCCAATGCCATTTAGAGAGCATGGCGCTGTTGAAACTCGCAAGGTCGAAGATTCCCAGCCCACCTCTGGATTTAGGAGCCTTGCACAGATCCCAGTTAACCAAGGGGCTCTTTCTTTCTTCTGAAGTTCCACTGCATAGAAACCTTCTTTGGATGCTCTCCATAGTTTTAATGATCGTCTTTGGTGCTTTAAGAATCGAAAAGTAGTAAACAGACTGCCTCGACAACACTGCTTGATTCAAAACGAGCCTGCCTCCCAAGGAGAGAAACTGACTCTTCCAACCTTGTAGCCTGTCCCTGTACTTCTGAATGATGGGTTCCCAAGTGGAGGCAGCGTTCAATCTAGCCCTGAGCAGAAAACCAAGATATTTGGATGGCTGGTCACTCCATCTGCAACCGAAAAGCGAGGCAAAATAATCCGGGTTAGGAACATCTCCCACTGTGAACATCACAGATTTCTCAAGGTTGATCCTGAGTCCGGTAACCGCCTCGAAACAAATGAGTGTAGAAAGCACATTCAGGACTTGTTCGTAAGAAGCTTCGCAAAAGATCAGAGTGTCGTCGGCAAAGAGGAGGTGAGTCACTTCTCCGCGTCCCCCCTGTTCATCCATGAAAAATCCTTTAATTCTTCCGTTCTCTTTAAGCTTGTTGATCATATAGTCTAGGACATCCATAACCAGAGAGAAGAGACCTGAAGATAGTGGATCGCCTTGACGAAGCCCTTTGTGCATAGGGAAAAATCCATGGAATTCCCCACTGATGAGAATAGAAATAAGAGGCGAACACATAGTACCCTTGATCCAATTATTCCACTGCGAAGGAAACCCAAGTTTGGAGATAACTTTGAACAAACAATCCCAACTCACATTATCGAACGCCTTCTCGATGTCTAACTTGAGCATCAAACCCGGTTTTCTGCTTTTCTTTCTGCTGTCAATAAGCTTGAAGGCAATGAGACCGGCATCACCAATCTGCCTCCCCTTAACCGACGCCTGTTGGTTTGAGGAAAAAATATTGGGTAGGACATCCCGCATTCTGCTGACGAGAACTTTGCTGAAGAGCTTGTTGATGCAACCCATCGGGCTAATCAGGCGCAAATCTTTTGGGTCTTCGACAACATCTATTTTGGGCAGTAAGCAGAGGAATGAATGAGTGACGCTTTGGGGGGGGACGCCAGTGCTATGGAATTCATTGAAAGCGTTTAAGATGTCACTCTTGACCCAATTCCAGCCTCGTTTGAAAAACTCCCAAGTGAATCCATCAGGCCCTGGTGCCTTGCTGCCATCGCACGCCGAAAGGCACGCCCAGATTTCATGTTCACTGAACTGTCTGGTGAGGAGCTGAAAATCGTTGTTCGAAATACGACGCTCGACATACTGTCTGGGGAAGGGCCGATTCGAACATTCTTCGAGAAAGATATTCCTATAATGATTAACCAATCCCGCCGCAACATCCTGCTTTCCCTCGACCAACACCCCACTGATTCCGATGCAGTCAATTCTATTGATTTTCCTCCTGAAATTGGCCATTATGTGGAAAAAGTTGTTGTTCTTGTCGCCAAGTTTGAGCCAGCACTCGCGGGATTTCTGTCTCCAAGAGATCTCCAGCAGATTAAGGAGCCTTCCCAACTCAATCCTGGAGATGTCTCTGGTCGCTCTCATGTTATCGTCTATAGGGTGAGACTCTTCAATTTTGTCGATGTCCGAAATCTTAGCGATAAGCTCATTGATCTTGACGTTGATATCTCCAAAAACCTCCTTATTCCAAGACTTGATTCTGCTCTTGAGGTGTTGGAGGCGACGCGCCCAGATGAATATCATCCCCTGACCTTGAATCGGATCCTGAAACCACTGATTCATCCCCATGAAGAACCTATCATCTTCGAGCCACATGTTCTCAAACCTCCATGGTCGTTTGAGGCGGGAGTGACTACCCCATTTGAGCATGACAGGGTTGTGGTCGGATTCAATTCTCTCGAGGGCGGTAAGATGGCAATCCGGGTAGATGGCGTCAAAATCAGCCGAGATGAAAGCACGGTCAATACGCGAAAAGCAATCGCTGGATCTTCCCCTGCTCCATGTAAAATGGCTGCCCCTCAAAGGCATCTCCAAAAGGCCGTTACTGTCCACAAAGTTATTGAAAGCCGTCATGATGCTCGCATCTCGTCGAGCGCCCTTGTAGTCATCATGGGATCGAACCATGTTGAAATCCCCTATAATGCAAGAAGGGGAGGTGACCTGGTGGCACAGACTGCCCAAGTCGTCCAGGAAAGCAAGCTTGTCGTTCCTGTTTTGAGGGCCATAAACCACCACCAGCGTCCATTCCTTATTGGACTTGATATCGACAAGATCCACCGCGAGGAAGAAAGTGCCCGCTAAACTGTTAACGGCTCTGAAGTGATTTTGGTCCCAATATATAACGATTCCACCCGCACTGTTGATGGCATCCTTGGCTACCCACCCTACATTTCTGGATCCACTGATGCTCCCAATGGTGGCGATATCGCATCTGTCCCACTTTGTTTCGCTTAGTCCGACTATTGTAGGTTTGCGTCTGTTGATGATGCGCTTGATTCTTCCCCGCTTGCTGGCTTCGCCAAGGCCTCTGACGTTCCACACAATTATGGATGCCTCCATTACTCTTCAAGATAGTTGGTATTACTTTCCCTCCGCCTCCTATTTCGTCGAGACTCGAGGTTCTCAGGAATCGATGGGCCAAGGCGGTGCTTTTTCATCTCGAGCTTTGTTCTGCTGCTACGCACTTTCCTTCGATGAGTATCCCTGGCTTTCTCCGCAACCAAGCTGGCCGGATGACTTTCTCCCTCAATATGATCTAAGGTGAACAGGTTGGCTAAGGCGAGGCTTGTAGTGGTGAGAGTATTCAGATCAAAGGGATACGCCTCCTGATCCCAATTGCGGGCATTGGAGTCGGAGGAACAAGACGGGGACGGCAACGTGTCGACGGAAGGGGTTAGGGTCGCGGGAGTTTGGATAGGGGATTGGGGTGTCTCCGGCACATAGGAACTTGACTGGTCGAAGAAAGTCGGTGATGTGGTTGAGGAATCTGGGCTCAAAGATACAGGTGAGTTGGGGGTGAGTAGGGGATCGTCCAAGTCGACGATTCTTGGTCTAGGTCGGGTTTGGGGCAGGGCTGGTGATATGGATGTGCGAATGACTGTGGTAAAGGAGGGTAGGTGCTCAGGTTTGGGGATTTCGGAGGGAATGGATAGGGTCGACAAGAGAGTGAAGGTTGGGTGGTAATGATGAACACGGATGGGAGTGGTTAGCCCAATCACGCTGAGAAGGTAAGGGATAATGGACTCCTGAAAGTTTTGGATGGGGGGCTGGACTATTGAGGTTTGCACAGCAGATTTAAAAGGGATGATTGTGTTGGGTTTAAAACGGGCGAGAGGGTTGGGTAGTGGGCCCTCTTTGCGGATCCAGATCTGCTTGAGAATCTTGGCCTGGGAGTTGGCCTGTCCCGTCGAAGCTTCCGTTAACTGGCCACATGGTTGACCTTCCATGCACGCAATGGAGACGTTACGCCGCGTGCTGCCTAAGCTGCGACCCTTAGACTTCCGGGAAAAATTGAAATTATTCATGGCCTTGTGAGTCTCGAGGCTGTTGCCTTCCAGCTGTGGTGATTGTTGCCCGTTGTCGGAGCGGTGGCCCTCCAGGCTCTGGGGCGGCGACGCGTGTTTATTGTACTAGTGACTTAATAACAAGTTTCATGTAATTTTATTACTCTACCCATTTTAAATGACATAATTTAATTATTTTAATCAATGATTAAAGCTATAATATATTTTTCAATGAATTAATATATTATTTTAATTATTTTATACATCTTAAATTGGTAAAATAATATAGGTTAGATAAAATGTATAGTTGTATTAAAAATTAAGTTGGACCCACCAAATGAAATAGATAGTGAATTTCATTGATGTAGAGAAAATTGAAGTGATATGTAGTGGAATGGAAAAATCTATTGATGTGGCCGTAGGAGCCACATATGAAATAGAAATAGTATTTTATGGATTTCGATGGTCTTCTTCTGTGTACTAGCAGGGATCTTGTTATTTTTTCCCTTTTTCTCTTTGTTTCTTTACCCCTTCTCCTGTTTTGGTTTTACTTTTCATCCTCTTCTTTTATTCTATACTTCTTGTGTAGTTTGTTTTTGTTTATTGGTTCCCTCCTTTCCAATGTACATATCTCATTTTTTCTCTTAATTACGAATTTCACTTTCATCAAAAAAAATATCTACCGCACTCTAAATTCAATTCTTTGAAAACAGAATAAAATATATACTTATGGAAAAGCCTCAGCTATCACAGGTGTACCACTCAGCATTCTCGCTGGCTACAATTGCTTTTCGAGGAGTTTCGAAACGCTCTGCATGCTAGACCTAAACTTTGAGATATTCATGATGCACGAAATGTTGATTCTCTAAACACCGCCACCATTTTTTATTTGGCGGAGATTTTCCTCTTTTCCTTCTGGAATCGACATATGTTCATCTACTATAGCTTCCAGCTAAATCCTCCTACCGCTGGCAGCGAATTCGAACGTGTTAGAAGCTTCCATGGATGCTTCACCATTGTTATTTCCAACAGTAGAACTCCAAAAATGTACATGATGCACCAGCAAAGCAGTCAAATCGGGATTTTACCTAAACTCGAAAACTGCGGTAAAATCCGAATCGGAAAATTGAATCGTAGAATCGTAGGATTTTAAGTACCATATAGAAATTAATATACAATAATATTAATAAGGTAAATCATTAATAACACAAAGACATTTAACATTTAAAATGATAAGTTTCAATATTAATGTTCTAAAATCATCATTTTAAGGATTTTGCTACGGTGACATGCATGTCACCGTGACATGGACTTTTCGGTCGACCGGATCCAACTTGCGGTCGACCGAATGGACTAATTCATGTATGTTGGGTTCCTGAAGGCGGTCGACCTCTTACAAAATGCGGTCGACCGCTTTGGTGGTCTAACAGAATGAAAGGTCGA